TTCTCAAATTAATCAAGCTAAACCTTGAAGATATACCTCCCACAAACAGAATACTGACAATTGCTAGATGCTGTTGTTTTTAACTCCATAACAGTCCAGGCATCCGATAATAATACAGACTGAATCCATCTTTTATGCTCTATGCTTGGAACCTTGAGAGCTGCAGGCTAAATTCTTGGCTCAACCAAACCTCCAATGTGATCTTGTGAAAATGATCTAGTGCCTAGTACTTTGATTCCCAAACTATAAAATAAGAGTGATAACATTCCTTTTATTCTGTACTCTATCTTGTTGATTTACTGCAACTGTTTTACAGCAAAGATGGTTTTAGGCACACCTACCACCGAAAAGAAAACCGAGATCTTGCCTAATGCTCCTACGTGCTCCTGTGGACACACAAGTAATCACATGAGGTATAATTCTCAACTAATTTCTGATCTGACTTCACTTCCTCCTTATTCGTATTTGTGCATTCCAGTGCCTAAGGCTCTGCTATCCCAGTGTGCACTGCAATAATTACTATAAAACTTCTGCCACTGAGTATTTCTGGACTTGAAAGCTTCTATCCCAAAATCTAACTTCGATTAATCTTTTGACTGCATTAAGCCAGCATACCCTCACTCACTCTAGTCCATGTATCTCAGCTTGACTGTAAAGGCCAATACTGTGCTGTCTTCCAAGCTCTCTTCCAGCAATGCTCCTGCAAGGAAGGTGCGAACAACTTTTCTGTTTTACCAACATGCAAAAAACCAAGAAGTGTGGGGTTTGTGCTTAGTATATTTCCCTCTGTCTCAGCCCTTTAGCTTTGGGATGACACGAATGGCTTACCGGTGATAGGCTTCCCGGCGGTACTTTTTCAGAGCATGCCCATCCATGTTTGCAGGGAGATCTGCTGCATTCTGGAGTCGGTCGCTCCATGAGGTTGTCATCTTCAAATGCTTCTCTATTTCTGAAAGAGGTAGAAGAGAAAAGCTTGCTTAAGTTCAAGGTTTGTTTCACCAGAAAGTTGTCTGTTTCCTGCTACAAGGACATATGATGCCTCTCAGGAAGTCTTGCAAAGTACCTGGTGGAATGATCTGAGTTTGCAGGTCAAGTAAGATGCTGTTCTTTGATACCTTAAACAGAGAGCTGGGAATGCTTTTCTACATGGTTGGAACTGCAAAGACATTCCTATCCATTGTAGTGAGAATGCATTTACAAACAGAAACCTTGTCTTCATTGCCTAAAAGGGATATTTTCTGACCCTAGAGTTACCAATATGCATTAGCTGTCAGTGATGGAAAACCTACCCTTCATACACGAGATAAACCCCACTGGGACTGACCTTGCCACTTATACCAGTGTAAAAACAAAGAGTCTTGTCCCTGGCCATTTGATCTCTAAGCAAAGACAAAGCCTCAAGCTGATGCTAAATTAGCAGAAACAATTGGAAGGAAAATAGAAAGATGATCCTTTGTCCTCTGCAGGTCAGTCACACTGAGACAGGCAAGAACACACTGTAGACCTGTAACATGAGCAATGCAAATATTCACTGGCAGATCTTCACAAACATCAGCACCCCTTCACAAGTACTGGTGGTCACAATCAAACCACTGCCAGTCCTCCTGATCAGGAAGGCCCTGCAGTGAGGAAACAGGAGTACCTTTCCCAATTTTGTTATTAGCACACAGGGGCAATCCTGCCTGCCCACTCCTCCAGCCAGACTGTTGCAGCTTCCTGCTGCATCCCTGGCACCAAGTGGGGTGACGAAGCAGCCCCATGGTGACTCAATTCAGCTCACCAGTCTAAGTCCTCACTCGCCAAAATTAACCAACCAAAACCTGGGTAGATCGCCACTGGTCAGCAGGGTGAGCCCAGCTCAGCCTGCCACAACACTATCATTAGAGCTGGTGTGGAGAATGGGGTGGGAGACACAACCCACAGTGATACCAAATTAGGCATAACATGAAACCACATTCTTGTGTAACCCACACAACTGCTGGACTGCAGGCCTTGGCTTGTTTACTCTTCCTTAAAAGAAACAAAACCGCCCACAAGCTACATGGGTAATGATACAGTAACAACTTCCAGACACCTTTAAAATACGACTGCCCTCATCTTACACAAGGGGAACTAGATGATTCCAGCAAAGCAGAGAGCAGAGTGAGTGTCCAAACCAGTGCTAGAAGTCACAGCACTCTCAGCGTCACACACATGCTCACTCTCCTCAAGGAAATCTGTATAATTGTTTAATTTTAAATTTCATTAAAGAGCAACAGTTGCAATTGTCACAGCATTTCTTAGTCTATTTACCTACTAGTTGCTGGTCTGTAAAAAATATGTTGTTCCTCCTCCAGCATTCTCTGCTTGTCTACCAGTTACTATAACCAAGGTTTACAAATGCGTTTTCTGCCACGTCCTAAAGGTCACCAAATTTAGGCTCTGGCAGGCAGCCCAAGGGACCGCATGCCATTGCTGAGAGCTCTCCCCCTGAATTCCCTACAACACACCCAGGAGAGGGGGTCACCACAGTGAGAGGGCAACAGGCCATTCCAGCCAGCCGCAACTTCCACAACAGGGCATGCAGGGAGAATCAGCTTCTAAAATAGCCCAGGCCCAGGCCACCAAGGGCTTACAGTAATTACCAGCTATTTAAGCCATGCCCAAAGGCAGATGGAAGGCAGCACAGGGCACAGAACTAAACAGCCCTCAAACATCGACCTGTTCCTATTCCACTTCGAAGGCAGGGCACTGCCTGCAGCAAGGTTCCTTAGGGGCAGCAAGGGCTGCAGCAGTGCTTGGGAAAGCAGCAGCATCCTTGCAAGGGTGACAGACTCCAGGTCTGCAGCTGAGACATGCACCAGAGTGAGGGACCTGGTAAGACCCCAGGACGGCAAACTACAGAAAGGGGTTGTGTCCTCCAAGGGCGGAAAAGCATCTACCCTATGGACATTTCAAGACGGCCCAGATCATCACCACATTGGTCTTACCTGGAGCTATTTTAAAGTTACTAGCCTAGAGCTACAGATTCAGACTCAAGAGATGTATACATTTAAGGCCTCTAAAAGACATGTTAAATAGCTCTGAAAAAACTGTTGCATGGCTGGTCTTAGGACTCTTAGACAGCTCTTGGTCTAGGTCTTCCAGCTGAAACAAATCCAAATCCAAGCTTTGCGCCATTTAGAAGGGCTACACCACTCTGCCTTCCCAGCCAGAGGCATAGCAAGATTCGAAGATTTACACCCGCAGCCAAAGCCAGAGAGTTTCTGTTCTGCCAGCCTCTTCTTCCCACTTCATCTGCTTTCCATCACCATCATATCATATCAGATGCTGCCACAGGTACTAGGATAGTGCTGCTTCCAGCAGCCATCCGTGTCAGACACCTGATAGCATACACCAATGGTTTCCTAAAAAATACCCTAAAATCCAGATGGCAGAAGAATTGTAGAAGGCTAACTTTATAATAACCTTTCTGAAATGAGAAATTGGTGGAGCAGTTTGAGCTCCCATGTGAAGAAACCCTCCTCTACAGTAGGAGAAACCAGACGGCATCATTTTGTGGATGCAGGGATTCAAAAAGCTGAGACTTGAGGAAGCCACAAAAATCTGAGTTTCCATAATTAAGCAAGGAAGACCAGAGTTATTTTAATGATCCAGCAGTATTTTGCTGTAGCTGTGATGAAGAGAGTTCACATGCAGGACAAGGTTCGTAGACAGAGGCAAAATCTTTTATTAGACCGAAGGATGTGACTGGAAAAAATAGACAAGCTCTTGGGTACACAAGCTTGCATAAGTTTTCAAATTCTGTAGGTTGCTCTAATAAAAGATTATCTCTACCTTCAGGCTTGGCCCTGATTTATCAAAATCTTTCTTTTAATGTCCACACAACATTTAAAAAAAAATTCTTATGCTCAAGTTGTCTGTTATACATACTCAAGCACATGCTTACAGCTTAGCAGGCTGCAGTGGTGCTGTGACAATAGCTTACTGCTCTGAAACAAAACTGTAACAACTGATAAAAGATATTGCAATGGATCTTCCCCACCCAAAAGTCTTACTCACACAAAAAGCCTCACAGACTTCAGTGAAATTGTTCTGTGCTTCAAGGCATAAAAATCAGCCTACCTGCATGGGTAAGAGACATGGGACCTGTGCCCTGAATGCAAATTCCTTCTTCCAAATAGAGAGAGAAAAATAAGAAGGACAGAATTACCCCATACATTTGTAAGCCACTGGAATAAACACTGAAGAGAGCAGGCAGCCAGCCAGGCAAGATTCTCAACTCCAAGCAACTGAAATATGATGCATCTTTCTTTAGTTACAAATCTATTTTTGAAATCAATAACCTGTAAATAGCTTCACATAAAAATAGAAATCTTTACATAGATAAAGCATGTCAGAACACCTCCTCATAATTTACTGCAAACATGCTCCTTGCTTCTGCTGTCCTAATGAAGCATCTGGTAACATTTATGGTACAGGGTTCATTTCGAAAAGGTATTCAAAATTCAGCTGCAAAGCTTTGATACAGAGCTGCTACCCAGTACATATGCTTTGGTCCAAAAGAAGATGAGATTTTTAGCATAAATTTTGAAATAAATCCCTGTGCTTATTTTGTCAGATTTTGGACGATTTCAAGTATTAGCCACAACGTATTTTTTTAAGTATTCATACAAATTAAGTAACATGTCTGGGAGCATTTCCCTTCAAGTTTTACTTTTCTTGTTTTACTTTTCTTATCCATTTTTGTCAACACATAGTTAGAAATTTCTGCACCTGATAATACTTGACGTGTTCAGGTCAAATGCACTGCGTATATTCTTTCCTGAGTTCATTTTGACACTTTGATGATGCAATGCCAAATCAGAGGCATAACACACTAAAATGTAGAGATGAACAAAATAGTGGTGACAATCCCACTTTTCCCACGTTGTTCTCGAAGAGCTTACGTAGCGAGAAACAAAAGCATCACTAACCAATCCCAAGGTTGTAGCGTACTCACACTGATTCACCATGCACTACATCTGCCTCCTGTCACACATTCTGCTTCAAGAATCATTAATACCTTGGCAGCACAACCCACGCATGTACGTGCACAGTGGAAAGTGAATAAAGAGAAAGTCATCACACCTAACGTTAGCTACTTAAAAGCTTTGTGTCTAGTCAGAGGCTGTGGGCGTACAGACAAGTCTCGTGGTGACCTTGCCAAGCCTAGAGCAGTTCCTGGCTCCCTGCTGCAACGCTGCTCCATCTCAAACAGCTTTATGGGGTCTCAGCAAGGGAAGAGTAAATCAGGCTAAAATCCTGAGAACGGGCAAAAGCAAAGGCAACAGGATTAGGGTTGGCTTGATCAAGACTCATGTCAAATTCCTGGTCCCGGTCATGGCATGGCCACACAAATAGGGCAAGGGAGGGGAAAAGCACTTTTTTTTCTGCAGCTGAGAAGACTATCTACATAAGGGTTGTTAAGAAAACAAGTGGATCACTTTCCAGGAGCATCCCTCTCCCTCCACCGAGAGTAGAAGTAGCTTGCACCTTGTTTAGGCTAGACACCTGGGACAGCTAGCATTGGAGGAGCTGAAATCCACTCAGGTTAGTATCATACCCTCTGATCCTCTGGAGCATCCGAAATCCTGAGATGGACAGCAGAAAGGGGTCAGAACTGTCATCTCCCTCAATGGCATCTCCCACTGGCACTGTGTGAGCAGGGCCTGGGCAGGCTCCTGGCCTCACCAGAAGTGCCATTCTTACACCTGCGATCCCAACACACTTCACAAACTCTCATTCACATAATACATTTAGGGACAGCAAAAGGTGCTGTTCCCATTTTGTCAGCTAAAGACAGCGAGGCACAGAGGAGGTAATAACACAGAGCCAGTGGGAATGCAGAAGCCCTAATTCCTCAGTCCCTCTGCTAAAAATCAGTCTGAGCTCCTAGCGCTGTCAGGATGAATCACAGAGA